TAACTAAGCATTTTTAATAATAATAATAATAATAATAATAATAATAATAATAATAATAATAATAATAATAATAATAATAATAATAATAATAATGACATAGTATTGGAACATGAAATTATAACTATAGCACAAGAATTTTTCAAAGAAACATCAACAATAGTTAATTAAAACACTATTCGAAATGAAATGGATAGAGTCAAAACTCAATATGGTCTGAGAAATTATTCAATCACATTAAAACTATAACAATTCAGAGAAGAAAAGAACAAAAATGAACAATAAAACTAAGTGAACCTCTAACAAAAAAATTGTGGTTTGATGTGTAGTAACGATGTGCTTTATGTTGGATCGAAGAGGTGAATTGAAATAATAACCTTGGAGAGAAGACAATCTAGACACAAATGGATTTATATTAAGAGTTAAAATGACAGGTTAAAACATAAAAAATGACATAATTTGAGTCAATCGCTAGGATATGAAAGTGGTATACGTAGATAATGTAACTTACTCGTAAAAAATACCCGTTTGTAAGGTGAGGATATGTCATAAGATTTAAAATTTCTAATTATAGTATCTTTAACATGTACTCTTAAGGCACATGTTAGAGTGACTCATTTTTAAAATACAACAAAAATTATTACTGCCCCTAAAAAAACATACTGCAATTACACGTCCAAAACATATTTCTGACTGAACCACCATTAACATAAACCTTTCCAATAATAAAACTTAGTGAAAAATATTCTACATTTTTAAATTCCTAATAAATTAAAATATTTGAGTTGATAGTGACATTCATACATAAAAGATGGAGGTTCTATGAAAAAAACTAAATCATGTAGTGACATGGCAATCACTGCAAGCACAACATCATCCTCACAACTATATTATAAAACTACAATCTCAACAATGACATTGCACCCATACATTCAACATCATTCTCTTATATTTTGATGTAAATTATAAAAATTTCCAACCTTTGAAATTTAAAACCATACTTGAAGCATTACAATTATTCTATATAAAACTATACATAATATTCAAAGTATTCAAATTCAAATATTATGAAGATAACAATAAAACTGCAAAAGAAACACAACATTATTTCGAAGAACAAGAACAACTACAATCCTTAGCCATTAAAGAGTCTAGAAAGCTTAACAAATTGTATGCAACTAACAAGTAACAAACTGAATACAACACACTTCAATAATCAACCACGATTTGTTCTTATAGGTTGCATGGGAAGTACCCCAAATATTCCAGAAGGAGACGAAGATATAACATTGTTGTTGCAGTTCAAATAATTTCCTTTACTATTTGCGCTCCCAACTATCTCATTCTCATTTTCCACAACAACCTCACCATCATCATTAACAAGAACATTCTTTTGAGTGTTGCCCACACTTTCTTCTTCCAAATCATCATCCATAGTAACATTGTTAATCTCTTCTTCTTCTTCTTCTTCTTCTTCGTCTTGCTCATCTGCTTCTATGAAATAGTCGTCGTCATCATCGTGACCAAGTGGAACAAGCTGCAAGGTGAGTCTACCATTCTCTCTGTGTGCATGAAAATACTCATGATGTTTCACTCTCTGTTCCTTGATGATCAACCTTCCCTCGTCAGTGTAGTATCTTATCAACACATATGACATGTGAGAAGCAAGGTTTTGAGTTTGAGCTAGGCAAGGTATAGGAGGAGGAAACTCTCTCTTCTTCTCCCTATTTCTAATAGGGCTTCTCATCTTCTTTTTATTGGAAGAAGCTAGAGACTTATGATTAATGTTAGAGAGGAAATTGTCGTCGGTTTGAAGGTCAATGCAACTTTCATTACCAATGTATTTGTAGTCATTTGAAGGGTATAATATAGAGCTTAAAGAATGAAAACTCATTGTTAAGGTTAAGGTAGGTTGATAAAATGAAAAATAGATTGATTTGTGTAATGAGAATGGAACCAATGGATAATATATAAAGAGAGGGTAATGAGTAATAATGAAGGGTTGTGTTTTGGTTAAAGAGATATAAAAGAGATAGAAAGTGAAGTAGTGGCTAGGTTTTCATGAAGTTGTGGCAATTAATAGATAATCCAAAAGATGACAAAGAGACAACTAAGATGAGTTATGAGGATGAATAACATTCATGTCACCAAGCTCCTGCGCATATTACAAATTTCAAAATCAAAAAAATAATAAACACATACATACGAATTAGAATGAATGAATAAATTTAATGAAATAATATTTAAAAATTAATTCAAGAAAATATATGAAAATATGATTAATTACATGTGGATATGAAATTAATCTAAATAAATCCCTAACTAATACTAAAAAAGTGTCATAAAATATGAAAATTAAATATAACTAAATATTTACATAGAAGATATTTTATAATAAGAGTAAAAAATATTTAGACTACTAGTAATAATTAAGGTTACACTCTTTATTAACTTTAACTTATAAAAACACTCTAATAAATACAGTTAATTTAATTTTATTAAAAAATTATATATAAAAATAAAATATACAAATAGACCCTAAAAATACACAATAACTTAATGTTAATTTTTATGCTATTTTTTATTTTAGTTTAGTATTTACAACAAAACTAATTTAGTTTTATTATTTGAGTTTTGCTAACTCTTTAAGAATTCTGAATAAATAAAAAAAAACTTCTATGAAAAAATAACCATTTTAATTCTAAATACATTAAATACGCATATTTTTAGACAAAATTTAATTTTCTTAAGGCTTTAAAAGTGTCTTAGAACACTCATTAGCATTTTAGTTATTATTTTTGTTTTTTTAGTTCCAATAAAATTGATTTTTAATAAAATTGATGTTGGCAAAAATTAATACATAAAATTATACAGAAAAAAAAAGTTTATGATAATTAAAATAAAATAAAAAATTACATAACTAAAATAGAAAGAAAAAAAAACTTACATATTTAAACTTAAAACTAATTCAAATAACTATTTATTTAACACAACACAACAGAACACGCCATTTAAATATGATAAACAAAAAATTGAAGTGTCGATCACTTGTTTTTAAATGTACTGATTTTTAAAATTAGTGACTTAATTTTGAATTAATTCAAGATTGATACATCAAATATATATTATATACATATCTTCCATCAGTCCTCCTTTGTACTAAAAAGAATAAATAGACCTCTTTAATTATTTTGAAAAATAGAGATAATTTCAAATCTTCACAGCAGTTTTAAGGGAAGTCTTTCTACTACTATAGTATCATGAGTTAACACAAAACTTATTTTTTATGGTTAGAATAATTCCATTTAATTGTAATTGGAAATAATTAAAAAATTGCTATATTCATTAACAAAAATAGTTTTAGAAATAAAAGATTATAAAATAATAATACTTGCAACTTTAACAAAAAAATAAATTTAAAAGGGCAAAAATAACAAAACATGATTTGAAAAATGAAATGGATTTAAAAATTACTAATTACACTTTATATCCAATATCTTTTCATTACTAATTATAATCCTTAAATCGATTGTTTATATATATATATATATATATATATATATATATATATATATATATATATATATATATATATATATATATATATATATATATATATATATATATATATATATATATATATATATATATATATATATATATATATATATATATATATATATATATATATATATATATATATATATATATATATATATATAAACCAGAACAAATACATATCATGATAAAGAGTTTGACCACACACGTTGGCATGGGGGTTAAACCAAGTGTTAGTTCCTATTTCATGCATTGATTAATTGTAGTTGGTTGTAATTTCTAGCTGTAATAATACAAATTATCATTTGTGTAAACATGAATTAATTTAATTAAAAAGAAATATAGTAAAATCAATTTAACTATTCATTGAATTTTTAAAGAAGGGAAAATACGAGTGAAGGAAAACGAGTCACTTTCAACAAAGAAAATATCACAAATCGATGTCATCGCTTTGTAATTAAGCATTTTTAATAATAATAATGACATAGTATTGGACATGAAATGATAGCTATAGCAAAAGAAATTTTCAAAGAAACATCAACAATAAATAATTAAAACATTATTCGAAATGAAATGGATAGAGTCGGAACTCAATATGATATGAGAAATTATTCAATCACATTGAAACTATAACAACTCAGAGAAGAAAAAAACAAAAATGAACAATGAAATTAAGTGTACCTGTAAACAAAAAATCGTGGTTTGATGTGTAGTAACGATGCGCCTATGTTGGATCGAAGAGGTGAATTGAAAGGATAACCATGGAGAGAAGACAATCTAGACACAGATGAATTTATATTAAGATTTAAAATGACAGATCAAACATTAAAAATGGCACAATTTGAGTCAATCTCTAGAATATGACAGATTTAAAATTTCTAATTATAGTATCTTTAACATGTATTTTTAAGATACATTTTAGCGTGACCCACTTTTTAAATACAACAAATATTATTACTGCCCCTAAAAAAGCACACTGCAATTGCACGTCCAAAACTTATTTCTGACTGAACCAACATTAACAAAAACTTTCTCCATAATAAATTTAAGTGAAAAATATTATACATTATTAAATTGCTAATTAATTAAAATATTTAAGTTGATAGTGACATTTATACATGAAAAATGGAGGTTATGTTGAGAGAGAGCAAATCATGTAGTGACACGGCAATCACTACAGGCACAACATCATCCTCACAACTATATTATAAAACTACAATCTCAACAATGATATTGCACCCATACATTCAACATCATTCTCTTGTATTTTGCTGTAAATTATAAAAATTTCAGCCTAAGAGAAATCTAAATTTGGAATTTAAAACCATACTTGAAGTATTGCAATTATTGTATATAAAACTATAAATAATATTCAAAGTATTCAAATTCAAATGTTATGAAGATAGCAACAAAATTGTAAAAGAAACACAATATTATTTCGAAGAATAAGAACAACTACAATCCTTAGCCATTAAAGAGTCTAGAAAGCTTAAATAATTGCATGCAACTAACAAGTAATAGACTGAACACATCACACTTTAATAATTAACCACGAAATGTTCTTATAGGTTGCATAGCAATTACCCCAAATATTCCAGAAAGAGGCGAAGATAGAACATTGTGGCTGCAGTTCAAATAATTTCCTTTACCATTTACACCCCTAACTATCTCATTCTCATTTTTCACAACAACCTCATCATCATCATCATTAACAACAACATTCTTTTGAGTGTTTGCCATATTTTCTTCTTCGAAATCATCATCCATAGTAACATTGTTAATCTCTTCTTCTTTTTCTTCTTCTTCTACTTCTTCACCTTGCTCTTCTGCGTCCATGAAATAGTCGTCGTCATCATTGTGACCAAGTGGAACAAGCTGCAAGGTGAATCTTCCATTCTCTCTGTGTGCATGAAAATACTCATGATGTTTCACTTTCTCTTCCTTGATGATCAACCTTCCCTCGTCAGTGTAGTATCTTTTCATAACATACGATATGTGAGAAACAAGATTTTGAGTTTGAGCTAGGCAAGGTATAGGAGGAGGAAACTCTCTCTTCTTCTACCTATTTTTAATAGGGCTTCTCATCTTCTTTTTATTGGAAGAAGCTAGAGACTTATGATTAATGTTAGAGAGGAAATTATCGTCGGTTTTAAGTTCAATGCAACTTTCATTACCAATGTAGTTATAGTCGTTTGAAGGGTATAATATAGAGCTGAGAGAGTGGAAACTCATTGTTAAGGATAAGGTAGGTTCAAAAAATGAAAAATAGGTTGGTTTGTGTAATGAGAATGAAATCAATGGATAGTATAAAAAGAGAAAGTAATGAATAATAATGAAGGATTTTGTTTTGGTTAAAGAGATATAGAAGAGATAGAAAGTGAAGAAGTGGCTAGGTTTTCGTGAAGGTGTGGCAATTAATAGAGAATCAAAAAGATGACAAAGAGACAACTAATATGAATTATGAGGATGAATAACATTCATGTCATCAGGCTCCATGTGCACATTACAAATTCCAATATCATAAAAAATAATAGACACATACATACGAGGTAGAATGAATGAATAAATTTAATAAAATAATATTTAAAAATTAATTCAAGAAAATATATTAAAATGTGATTAATTACATGTGGATATGAAATAAATTTAAATAAATCCCTAACTAATACTAAAAAAGTGTCATAAAATATGAAAATTAAAGATAACTAAATATTTATATAGAAGATATTTTAAATTAACAGTAATAAATATTTAGACTAACATTAATAGTTTAGTTCACACTCTTTATTAACTTTAACTTTTTAAAAACACTCTAATAAATAAATACTTTTAATTTAATTTTATTAAAAAATTATAAATAAAAATAAAATATACAATTAGACCCTAAAAATACACAATAATTTATTTTAATTTTTATGCTCTTTTTTTTTTTATTTTACTTTAATATTTACAATGAAACTAATTTATTTTTAATATTTGAGTTTTGCTAACTCTTTAAGAATTCTAAATAAAAAAAACTTCTACGAAAAAATTACAATTTTAATTCTAAATATATTAATTAAGCATGTTTTTTAGAAAAAAAATTAATTTTTTAGGGCTTTAAAAGTGTCTTAGAATACTCATTATCACTTCAATTATTATTTTTGTTTGTTTTAGTTCCAATAAAATTAATTTTTAATAAAATTGAAGTTGGCAAAAATTAATACATAAGATTATACAGAAAAATGAAATAATAAATAATAAATATTTATGATAATTAAAATAAAATAAAAAATGACATATTTAAAATAGAAAAGAAACTTACATATTTAAACATTAAACTAATTCAACTAATTA